AAAACAAACAAACAAACAAACAACAAAAAAAGACTACAAAAGTTATTCACTAAGCTCTGCTGGAATAGAACCACTGTACCAAAAGCCCTATTTGAACATTAAGACAAAATTACTGATGAAATTACTTGTTCTAAATTCTGACAAATTCTATCAGTTGTACACAAACAAATCTTACTTTCTATTTCTCCCAGATGTGAGGCTGAATGTGCATTAAACAAAGAGTATTATAAATTAATAAATACAAAGCAGGCACTGCTTTCCCTCAAATTGAGAGTCTATTGCTACTGGTGTGGCCTTAATCTCTGCTTCAGGTAGGCAGGAAAAACAGGGCACCAACACCAATACCACAATTTTTCTAGTGTGTTAGAGATCACCTTAAGATCTATGATTCTAAAAGATTCCTTTCCACAGGTCAGAGCAGGTCTAAAGCCTCCCTATTCAACAGTCCCAAACCCAATGATGAGATTCTTGGCCTTGGTTACCTTATACCCACCCAGAGATCATTTTATATTATAGTTACCAGGCTCTGTCTAGACCAATTGAATTACTATCTCAGGGAAGGTATCAAGCACTGGCATTTACTAAAACTTCTCAGATACTACTGACCTGTACCTAGCAGGTGAGCATCAATGCCTTGATCTCTTGCATTTATATCTTAAAAGCCTGGATCTAAAGTTAGCCCAAATTAGTCTAGGAGAGAAACAGTCCATTTCTGCAAACTTAATATGAGACAAAAGATACTTAGAAACTACCTTCTGAAAAGGTTAACTTGGATATCTTCCAAAATAGCTTGAAGTTTAGTTTCAGCTTCATTTTCTGCAATTGTTAGCTTTTCTCCAGTATCTCGTCTGACAGCTACAAACTGACAGCTTTTCATATCACGTGGCCCAACTTCAAGTCTAATTGGTACTCCCTATAAAATAAAATTTAAAAAAGCACGTGGTAAGTTTTTCTAATTATTTACAAATTTATGCATAAAAAGCACATTTGTTTTCTTTTCAATAGCAATAGAAAATTATTCTTTCAGTCTTCCTGATTGCAATGGAACTAAGATGGTATTAAAAATACTACATTGGGGGCTGGGAAGGTGGCTCAGTGGTAAAGTGCTTGCCTTGCATGCCTGAGGCCCTGGGTTCGATTCCTCAGCAACACATAAGCAAAAAGAAAAAAGCCAGAAGTGGCGCTGTGGCTCAAGTGGTAGAGTGCTAGCCTTGAGCTGAAGAGCTGAGGGATAGCGCCCAAGCCCAGAGTTCAGGCCCCACGACCAGACCCCCACCCCCACCCCCCAAAAAAAATACTACATTGGACCAGAAGTATAGCTGAGGTGATGTGCTTGCCTACTACAGATGAATCACTGGGCTCAATCCCAGCATGGAAGGGGGAAAATAAAGCTAAGAGTAAGGATCTTTAATTCAAAATGCTTCAGACCAAACGTGTTTCACATTTCAGTTCCTCACATTTTCAAATATTTATAGACATAATTACTTAAGCATCCCTACTCTATAAAAATATCAAATTGAAAATGATCTAAGCCGGGCGTTGGTGGGTCACACCTGTAATCCTAGCTATTCAGGAGGCTGAGATCTGAGGATCACGGTTCAAAGCCAGCCTGGGCAGGAAAGTCCATGAGACTCCTAGCTCCAATACACTAGAAAACTGGAAGTGGTGCTGTGGCTCAAACGGTAAAGCACTCATCTTGAGCTGAAGAACGCAGGGATAGTGCCCAAGCCCAGAGTTCAAGCCCCACGATGGATGAAAGAAAGAAAAGAAAGAAAAAAAAGAAAGAAAGAAAGAAAATGATCTAAAATCCAAAACTTCTGAAGTTTACTTAGAGCTTGATTTGTATCATACTTTTCAATAGCTGGTCAAACTCTTTCTCATGTTTTTTTCAGTTTTGGGCTGAAGTTAAAAACTTAAGGGTTTTATTTTCTTTCTCAGGAATGAAGACATGGATTCTACAGTATAGCTCAAATTAGTATCTCCACTCACAAAGTGCAGGTTTACCAGGGACTCAAAACAAACAGCAATAGAGGAGTGATTGAGAAAGGAATATGGAGACATTTCTGTTTAATTAACTTTGTATCAGTAAGAAGTTTATCCTTTAACATTTGTATCCAAGCATGTGTAAATTGGTTTAGAGAAGCTGCTACACTACATACCACTTAAAAGCTATTTCTAAGCAAGAAAGACCTTTTTCTTTCTTTTTCAAAAGGAGAAAACATCCATCTTAAAGTCCTCACTAGAGAAAGTACTACCAAATACAAGGAAAGCAGCATTTGTGTTCCAGCACAGAAGATAGTTTCACTCAAGCAGCATTAAAAAATGTAATATTGTAAATATTAGCAACTTTGGTAATGATAAATGTATTGATAATGAATAATCTCTCAGCATTACCAAGCTTACATCAAAACTTGAAAGTTGAAATCTCACTACATTTTATCATTCCAATTTCCTATATAATGTGAATCATATTCTTGACTCCTAATTTCTAGATCCAATTATGATTCTCTAAGCTAGTCAGGAATAGATGATAGATGGCCATTTGTAATCCCAGCAGTCAGGAGGCTAAGACAAAAGGATTCAAAATTTGAGGTTTGAGCTACATAGTGAGACCTTGATTCCAAAAATAAATGAATGAAGTGTAAAAAAAACTTAAATTCTTGGTTTTAAAGAAAAAGATTTAAATTCCAGAAGTTCATAAAATGGAATTAAGCACATAGTTCATCGTAACAACATTGTATGATAGATAAGTGAAATTTTATTATAATAAACCAGATTTCAGATGGGCTTTCGATAGACAAACTGAAAATCAACTGATGTAAAATAATGTGGAATAAAAACCCAACAGTGACAAGTGATTCCCATACAGCATTATTCTAGCATTGTATCCAACTGTTCAAATAACTTACATGAATTCCTGGCATAAACATCACATATCAATTACATGAGGTTTACTTATTTTAAACAAAACCTCCAAGTTTAACCTTAAGTTAAAAAGAAGCAAATGTACAGACAATCTAAAGCTAGGTTGAAGATTCAGGAGAAAAAGATTCAACTGAGGGATTTACCTTGAGCTCCCAGTGATTGAACTTCCAGCCTGGAGAGTAGTTATCTCGCAAATCGACTCTAACTCGAATGTTAACATTGAGCAATCGCTGTCGATAATCATTGCATTTGGTCATCAGAGCTTCTTTGTCTTCTTCAGAAAGTGTATTTGTAATACCACAAGGAATAACCACCACCTAGAATCCAGCATATAGAAATAACCACATAGAAGCACTAAAGTCCTGTAAAAACCTACCAGATTTAAAGTTTTTAAAATTTTTAAATTGTTATTATAAAGGTAATATACAGAGGAGCTACAGTTTCATAAGTTAAATAATGAGTACATTTCTTTTGGACAATGTCACCCTTTCCTTTGCTCTCTTCTAGTTTTTCCTTCCCAGATATAAAAGTTTTAAAAAGTCTAATCAACTTACATGATTCTTAATCTACACCTAATATCTATTCACTATTTATATATTTATTGCTTATCTACACAAATGAATTTTCAGTTGACTTACAATTTCATTTAGTCTATTGTAACTCATTTTATTTATTATTTTGGTCGGTCATGGGGCTTGAACTCTGGGCTTGGGCGCTGTCCCTGTGCTCTTCAGCTCAAGGCCAGCGCTCTACTGCTTGAGCCACAGTGCCACTTCCGGCTTTCTAGTGGTTTATGGAGATAAGAGTCTTACAGACTTTCCTGCCCATGCTGGCTTTGAACCGTGATCCTCAGATCTCAGCCTCCTGAGTAGCTAGGATTACAGGCGTGAGCCACCAGCACCCGGCTTATAACTCATTTTAAAAAATGATCTAAAGAAGTTTTATACAAAGTAGTGTGTGTATGTGTGTGCATGTGTGTGCGCACATACACACTGGTTCTGGGCATGAACTCAGGGCTTGAGCACTGTCCTGGATAGAAAATAGCTTTAAAAATTAAAGAAAGCCTGGTTTATTGGTAGCCAGCTACAATATAGCTTTAGAAATTAAAGAAGCAGGGCACTCATGCCTGTAATCCTAATTACTCAGGAGGCTGAGATCCAAGGATCACATTTCAAAGCCAGCCCAGGAGTCCGAGAGACTCTTATCTCCAATTAATCACCAGAAAAATGGGATGGCACCCAAGCCTAAAGTCCAAACTCTAGGACTGCTATACACACACACACACACACACGCACACATACACACACACAAATAAAGAAATACAAACAATAACAATGCAAATAATATACAGTTGTACAAAACAGGTCTAAGCTATATTCTGTTATTTTATTGTCAGATAAATTTACCCAAATAATACCATTCAAAACAACAGCCTTGCAAATTTCACATCTTCCAAATCATGATTTCAAGTTAATAAACATGGCTTCTTTTATAAATGAAATGAAAAACAGAAAAAGGAAATATTCTCTTTACCTGAACACAGGCTACACGAGGTGGCAGTACCAAGCCCATGTTGTCCCCATGCACCATGATCATAACACCAATGGTTCGCGTTGTCAGTCCCCAGGAACACTGATAGGCAAATTGCTTCTCACCAGGTGATTTTGGATCTTCAAAAATGATTTCACACATTTTAGAAAAATTCTGGCCTAAATGATGTGATGTTGCCCCCTAAAATAAAGAGAAAAACATAAGCTTTAATTTTACTAATTTTTTATGCCTTTGAAGATATCATGATAAAATTACATGTTTTAACATAGTACTACACCTGTTTTATCTCCCCCTTTGGAGGCTGCATAGGTTTAAAATGTAAGTATAAATGAGAGATCAGAATTAGAGGGGGGGGGGTAACACACACCCAAAACTACATAATTGTTTTGCTATGGAAACCCCTTTATTTAGAAATAACTTTCAGTACAATTTTATTTATTTCTTTATTTTTTGTTGGTCGTGGGGCTTGGGTACTGTCCTTGCGCTCTTCAGCTCAAGGTGAGCATCTACTGCTTGAGCCACAGGGCCATTTCCGGTTTTCTAGTAGTTTACTGGAGATGAGTCTCATGGACTTTCCTGCCCGGGCTGGCTTTGAACTGCAATCCTCAGATCTCAGCCTCCTGAGTAGCTAGGATTATAGGCGTGAGCCACTGAAGCCCGGCTTTTCAGTACATATTTAAAAAGGTATCCATACTTTGGTGATTCAGAAATTAATTAAACCTGGAGATTTAAAGATGACGAATGCACTAAAAATATGATAAACTAGAAAGTACTTAAAGCACTTTTCTTTTAAATATGTTTATTTATCTTTATCTTTTTTTCCCCTTGTGTTATTGAGATTTAAACTCAGGAGCTATGCCCCTTTGCTTTTAGTTTCTCTATCAAGCTTTTTTCCTGGCCCAGCCTCAGACAGTGATGCTCCTGCCTCCACTTCCTAAACAGCTGAGATTATAAGCATACCTAAATCACGTCCAACTTTATTATTTAGTTGGTAGATAAAAACATAAAAACTGAACACATTAATGTTGTAACATATTTTGATATATGTAGACAATGCATAATGTTTAAATATATCTCCTTAAGTATTTATCTTTTTTTTTCTTCCTCTGTCATGGGTCTTGAACTCTGAGCCTGGGCACTGTCCATGAGCTCTTCAGCTCAAGGCAAGCACTCTACCACTTGAGCCATAGCACTACTTCCAGTTTTCTGGTGGTTAATTGAAGAATCTCACAGACTTTCCTGGCCAGGCTGGCTTTGAATCATGATCCTTGGATCTCAGCCCCCTGGGTAGCTAGGATTACAGGCATGAGCCACAGGCTCATAAATACTGCCAGTATTTATCATTTCTTTACACAAGATTTATCATAATCATGCCATATCATAAACAACAATGTATAATACATTATTGTTATCTTATTATACAGTAACATACCAGGATTTTTGCTTTGTTTGGAGGGAAGGGGATTAAGTTAAGCTATGTGAAATATGAGAAGCACAAAATCCACTCATATGTTGACTCTTAAGTTCACTGCATGGAAATTTAGAATAAAATAGTGATTATCACAGGGGTAAGTAAGAATGAAATATGGGGAAAGCTGACACATGGGTACACAATTATAGTTACGCAGGAGTAAGAATTTCTAGTGTGGCAGAGTGTGATAACAATTTGTAGTGTGTGCATTCCAGGGCTGAGCCAGACACACTATAAATTCAAGGTCAGCTTGTGCTACATAATGAGACCCTATTTCAACAACAAGAATGTATTTCTCTGCGACAGAAGAAATTGCTGTGTCTGCCCATGGACGGTCCTGTTACCCACAGCGGTGGCAGAGTGGTACCTGGATAGCTCTCCCACTAGCAGATATGAATGCTTCTACTGTTGTTGTATAGTCTCCTCCTGCAAACTTTTCCTTTTCAGTCTTCCTTCCTCTCACAACAGGAATTGCCAGGAGTTCTTCATATACTCGAGCATATAACTCAAGTATCTGTAAGACCTATAAAAATAATTTAAACAAAAATGTGTCTAAATTTAGGGCATATTTATTCACTATAGTCTATAAACTGTGTATTTCAAACATAAAATATTTTTATAATGGAAAAGTTAAAAGCTAAATGAGATTCATTAAAAGACATTTATGGCTGGGAAGGTGGCTCAGTGGTAGAGCGCTTGCCTTGCATGCCTGAGGCCCTGGGTTCGATTCCTCAGCACCACATAAGCAAAAAGAAAAAAGTCAGAAGTGGCGCTGTGGCTCAAGTGGTAGAGGGCTAGCCTTGAGCTGAAGAGCTGAGGGACAGCGCCTAGGCCCAGAGTTCAGGCCCCACGACCAGACCCCCCCCCCAAAAAAAAGACATTTAGGTTGTGGGCACAACTTGGCAGGGTGCCTGCCTAGAAAGTATAAGGCCCCATTCAAACTCCAATATTGTTAAATGAAAAAAGAAATAAACACAGTAAAGAAGACAGTGAGGTTGAACATCTTTTTAAAACTGTATAAATTTGGAATTAGAAAAAAATGATTGTAAGAATATATAGCAATCTGAGTGAAAAATGATAATTTTCAATCATATACCTATTCTACAAAGTACAATAATATTTTCAACTGAATTTAACTGTATGTTTTGTTTTTTAGTAAGACTTCAATAAACAATTATTAAAATCTATTCACATCTGAATTAATTTGATTTTACCTTGTAACAAATGTTGCACACATTTTAATTAAAAAAGCAGAGCCTAAACAAAAAAAATCATAAATAATATGAAAAAGATTTTTTATACCTCTTCTGCTGCTTCCTCAAAGGTAGCAAAAGCACTGTGCCCTTCCTGCCAAAGGAATTCACGAGTCCGGAGGAAAGGCTGGGGGTGCTTGAACTCCCAACGCTAGAAGAGCAAAGAGTGCAGTTGGTTATTATAGACAGCTTTCCATTCTTATGAAAAACTTTACATAGTAAGTAACCAAAAATCATAATCATGATCCATAATACTTCAAAAACTAAAAGGAAAATATGATGAGTAGTAGTGTGGACCTACCACCACATTGCACCACTGATTGAGCCGGATGGGCAGGTCTCTGTGTGACTGCACCCATTTTGCATATGCAGGATACATTACTGAAAGATACAGGAAAACACAAGTAACTTAGTCATTTAAGGATTCACTTGATTATATTTATTAAATTTAAATTCATGAAGAATAACATTCATTTACTTTGACTGCTTTCGTGTTTTGTTTGCTTTTGGAAACGTAAGTTCTATGTTAAATTCTTTGCATTTATAATCCTATTTAGTTCTCACTTTTAGCCTATCAGTACAGGTCACCGATATCAAACATGTGAAAGTTAAAAAACTCCCCAAATTCAGCAGTTACATATTAGAATGAATCTTACTTAGATCTACCTAGAATATAACAATTAGAGCCTATTTGTGATATACAATCAATTAAAAAAACTTGCCAATTTGATGTGAGAAAAAAAGCTAGTATCAAAATTTCAATAAGGGCACACAAGAATGTCACTAGAAGTATCAAATAAAGAATAAACATTCCTACATCTAAATATGGATGATCACTTTAAAAGTCATTTTCCAGCAGCACTTCCATTTACCATGACTAATTTTAGGAAAATGACTTAGTCTTTCAGAGAGCATTTTTTTTTTTTTGGTCAGTCATGGGGCCTGAACTTTGGGCCTGGGCGCTGTCCCTTAGCTCTTCAGCTCAAGGCAAGCGCTCTACCACTTGAGCCACAGTGCCACTTCTGTCTTTTTCTGCTTATGTGGTGCTGAAGAATTGAACACAGGGCCTCATGCATGTGAGGCATGCACTCTACCACTGAGCCATTTTCCCAGCCTCTCAGAGAGCTTTCTTTACCTTCAAAGTAAGAGATTATAGCTGCCTGTGACTTCAGTTTTGTTGTAAGGATGAAAATTTTAAAAACTTGATTAAAATTAATGTATTTAGTAACCTTTAACAATTTTACACATGGCCAGTTGCCAGTGGTTCATGCTTGTAATCCTAGCTACTCAGGAGGCAGAGAACTGAGAATCTTGGTTCCAAGCCAGCCTGGGCAAGAAAATCCTTCAGACTCTTACCTCTAATTAAAAAGCAGAGAGGGGCTGGGAAGGTGGCTCAGTGGTAGAGCGCTTGCCTTGCATGCATGAGGCCCTGGGTTCGATTCTTCAGCACCACATGAGCAAAAAGAAAAAAAGTGGCGTTGTGGCTCAAGTGGTAGAGCACTAGCCTTGAGCTGAAGAGCTCAGGGACAGTGCCCAGGCCCAGGGTTTAAGCCCCACAACTGTTCTCCTGGCCCCCCCACACACCCCGCAAAAAAGCAGAGAGAAGAGCTGTAGCTCAAGTGGTAAAGTGAGTGAAAAAGCCTAAAGACTCTGAATTTAAGCCACACAAAAAAACAAAACAAAAAACTCCACAACTCTACTTATGAATGTATTAAAATGAGTAACAAAATTTAAAAATAAGTATGGCATGAAGGATTAGTTTGTACATTTTATTTTTTTATTTTTTGGTCAGTTCTGGGGCTTGAACTATGGGGTGAGTCTGAGTTTCTTTTGTTCAAGGCTAGTGCTCTACCACTTGAGTCACAGTGCCACTTCTGGCTTGTTCTCAGTAGTTTACTGGAGATAAGAGTCTCATAGACTTTCCTGCCAGGGCTGGCTTCAAACCACCATCTTCAGATCTCAGCCTCCTGAGTGGCATGAGCCACTGGTGCCCAGCTTACAAAGTTTTTATACATATACACACATATATATATATATATATATATATATATATATGTCATTGTACAAATAAATTTCAATTCAACATGTCAGTTCTTCTTTTAGTTATCCCCCATCTCTCTCAACTCCATCTATCCTTCCGCATTACCCGATTCCATTTTCACATATATACATTGAACATTATTACAGTACTAGCCCCTCTCTCCATTGGTCTGCTCCCTATCTCCTCCCTTCCCCTGACAAAACATGCTCCAGCATCTCGGTACTCACTCGTCAAACTCAGGAGTTTTGTTGCTAGACTCCTCCCATGGGCATGCCGTACTTTCACCAACTGTGTTAAGTCCAGAGGACCCAACACGTATTTTCTTATATTATTTATCATTCAGATCTAACTTCTACATGTGAGAAAACATGTATTTTGTCTCTCTGGGCCTGATTTTTTTTTTTTTTTGCCAGTCCAGAACTTAAACTCAGGGACTGGGCACTGACTCTGAGATTCTTTTGCTCAGGGTAGCACTCTATTGCCACTTGAGTCACAGTGTCACTTCTGGCTTTTTCTGTTTATGTCGTACTGAGGAATTGAGCACAGGGCTTCACGCAAGCTCTCTACCACTAAGTCACAATTCCAGAAATTCTGGACTGGATTTCACATAATTGTTTCCAATTCCATCTATTTTCTTTTTAATTTAAATTTAAATTTTATTGTCAAGGTGATGTACATAGGGATTAGTTACTTAAGTAAGACAGTAAGTACATTTCTTGTCAAACTTGTTATCTCCCCACATCCATCCATTTTCCTACAAATCATATCATTATTCTTCCTAATGGATGAGTAAAATTTGGTGTTGGTCGCAGTGGTATGTGTGTTTGCAATGTTTTAATCAATCCCAAGACTAACCACTATTGCAGTAAAATTCCTTGAAATGCTATTCCAAGAAATTTTATTTTATTTTTTTTTGGGGGGGGCTGGTTGTGGGGCTCGAACTCTGGGCCTGGGAGCTGTCCCTCAGCTCTTCAGCTCAAGGCTAGCGCTCTACCACTTGAGCCACAACGCCACTTCCAGTTTTTCTCTTTTTGCTTATGTGGTGCTGAGGAATCGAACCCAGGGCCTCAGGCATGCAAGGCAAGCGCTCTACCACTGAGCCACCTTCCCAGTCCCCCAAGAAATTTTAAAGCAACGAATTTAAGTAAAAAAAGAATTTTTATTATGCTTAAGGAAAATTCCATACCATTCCTGAACAATGTGCTACTGACAAGGATGACATATATCAGAAAACAAAAGCTGAGACTCAACTCTAAAAGTGCAGCTGGCTAAGAACTCAATGAGCTTTCTACTGGTCTCACCTGTTTCACTGGTAGGCCGGATGGCAATTGGTTCCGCCAACTCTGTTTTGCCAGATCTTGTAACCCAAGCAACCTAGTAAAATAGAATCATTTTCATGCATTGTTGTTCAATGGCATTTCACAACAACAGTATAAAGGTAGACAAATTTTCTTTTTGTCAACATCAGTAAGGCAATTTCAAATCACTGAGGCTGCTACTGGAAGGTAGGGTTCCAGTTATACAATGTGACAATCATAACCTGGCACAAAGGTAAAATACAATTATAAAATAAAAAGTCTTATGTTTCTACAAACTGGTTGTTAGACACCACTAAAAATATACTTTGAAGTTTATAGAAGAAAACTCCAAAAAAATCAAAGAGTGAAGGGCTGGAGGTATGGCTCAGAGATAAGAGCACATGTCTAGCATGTGCAAGGCCCTGAGATCAAACCCCAGAACTACCAAAATACTAAAAAGAAAAAGAAAAATCCTCATGCAAATCACATGAGCAACCCAGGTCACACCATTATTTTGAAAATAAAAGAGGATGGTGGGCTGAGTGGGGAGAGTGAGGGAGGACTAACAAAGAGAGCGAATGAGGATGAATAGGGCTTAAGTAGTTTATTTGCATGTAATAAAACAGAAGAATGAAATCTACTGAAACTGCTTTAAGAAAGGAGAATGGGAAGGAGAATGATAGAGGGTCAAGATGATCCAGATACAATGTATACACATGAAGAACAATAAAACTGCCCCTTGTACAATAAATGTATGCCAATTTAAAAAAAGAACCAAAGTTCACTTACCTCAGGGGCAAAGTCAGCAACATGATTCTTCTCTTTCTCTAATGCAGCTTGAGACACAAATATGGGGAAATAGCAGTTTTCAACACCAAGTTTCTTAATCTCAGTATCAAAAAAGTCCTTAATGAATTCCCAAATGGAATATGACCATGGTCGAAGAATATAACAGCCACTCACATCATAGTATTCAATCATTTCTGATTTTGTAATGACCTTTTTAAGAGAAAAATAAAATCTGTGAAGCTTAATTTTGCTGTTAAGCACAATTCTATAAATGGCAAAAGTACACAATAATAAAAATTCCAATCTGAGCCAGGTGTAACTGCACACACCTGTAATCTCAACACTCAGGAAGCTGAGACAGGTGGATTACAAGATTGAGGCCAGCTTGGCTTAAATAGTAAATTCTGTCTTAGGGGCTGGGAATAGTGGTAGAGCGCTTGCCTTGCATGCCTGAGGCCCTGGGTTCGATTCCTCAGCACCATATAAGCAAAAAGAAAAAATGCCAGAAGTGGCGCTGTGGCTCAAGTGGTAGAGCACTAGCCTTGAGCTGAAGAGCTGGGGGACTGCGCCCAGGCCCAGAGTTCAGGCCACACGACTGGACCCAAAAAAAAGAAAAGTAAATAAAATGAAAGTCCAATCTAGACATTTCCTCTGTTGATCCACACTTGTAAAGTGAAAGATCTGGATGATAATAAAAACACATCTTCCTACAAAGAGAAGCAACAAAAAACAGGTCTCTAAACTCTTAAGACTTGCACTCCAATCTTCTCTCTACTATTTACTTACTATCTTTGGGACTTTAGACAAATCCCCTTACTTTACTAGGGGAAAAATAAAGGGGCTGGGAAGGTAGCTCAGCGGTAGAGTGCATGCCTTGCAAAAATGAGGCCCTGGGTTCGATTCCTCAGCACCACATAAACAGAAAAAGCCGGAAGTGGCGCTGTGGCTCCAGTGGTAAAGCACTAGCCTTGAGCTGAAGAGCTGAGGGACAGCGCCCAGACCCAGAGTTCAGGCCCAATGACCGGCAACAAACAAACAAACAAAAAAAACTAGGGGAAAAATAAAAACAACAAACCATTACTATCTCCTTGCCTTTTAACTTATGGCCTCATACTTGCTGGGAAAAGTATTCTAGCACTTAAGCCAAGCCTCTATCTCTGTTTGCTTCAGGTTATTTTTTAGATAGGTCTTCTGTTTTTACCCAGGCAAATACGGACAAAACTTTCTTATCTGTATCTTACTCATCTAGCTGTGACCATCTATCACTTGCCCTATTACAACTAAACTTAAGCTTATTTATAATGTCGAGATGGGATCTGGCTAGCTTTTTCCAGGGCTAGATTTGAATTGTGATCCTCCCAAACCCTACTTCTACATAGCTAAGAGCCAATGTACACTGCCAGGGCTGCCTTTTGATCCAAGAACTTATGTGGACATGCCTTGAAAACTAACTTGTTCAAAAGACCACACACCATATATAAAAAGGCATCGTATATTCAGTAAGTCCCGTCTCAATAGCAGATTTTACTTTTTCTTTCTGGTGCTGGTACTGGGACTTGAACGGAGCCCAGGCTATCTTAGAACTGACTCAGCTCCTGAGTAGCTAAGAATTACAGGTATGAGCCACCTGAGCCCATCTAACACTTGGTTTCGACATAAGGCCTGAACTCTGGGCCTGGGCGCTGTCCCTCAGCTCTTCAGCTCAAGGCTAGCGCTCTACCACTTGAGCCACAGCGCCACTTCCGGCTTTTTTCATTTTGCTTATGTGGTGCTGAGGAATTGAACCCAGGGCCTCAGGCATGCAAGGCAAGCACTCTACCACTGAGCCATCTTCCCAGCCCTCAAAATATAAACTTTTTAAAATTCCACAGGCATATCATGTAGCCCAACCGATGTGGAGTTCTTAGTTCTATTATCACTAGTTATTTTTAAATAGTTCTGTGATCTAATGAATATTTTCCTGTCTTTAATATTCCCCTCCTCAAAAGTAAAAGTAAGTCATCAGCCAGGCATGGGTAGCTCATGCTTGTAATCCTAGCTTCTAAGGAGGCAAAACATCAAGGTTGGAAGCTAGCCCAGGAAAAAAAGTCTAAGATTCCATCTCAAATTAACTAGCAAAAAGCCAGCTGAGCACTGGTGGCCCACTGCTCATGTGGCCCACTAGCTACTCAAGAGGCTGACATCTAAGGATTGTGGTTTGAAGCCAGCCAGGGCAGGAAAGTCCATGGGACTCTTATCTCCAATTAACCACCAGAAAACCGGAAGCAGCACTGTGGCTTAAAGTGATAGAGAGCAAAAGAGCTCATTGCCAGTGCACCCAGGCCTTAAGTTCAAGCCCCAGGACAAAAAAAAAAAAAGCCAAGCTAGGTGTGGCGCAAGTGGTAGAGCACCAGCCGAACAGGCAAACCTAGTGAAAGTGCAAGGCCTTGAGTTCAATGCCCTAACATTAGAAAAGGGGAGAGGAGGGAGAGGCCCCAGGGAGAAGGGGAAAAAGAGTAAGGAAAAAGAAGGGGGTGGGACTGGGAAGGGAAAGGAAAGATATCCACAAAGTTCACTAAAATGACACAATGAAGACTGAGGTTTGTTGACAGACTGCTTGTCTTCAACACGGGTTTGATGGCATTATGGGGAAAAATGAATTTAGCATCCATAGTATAGTATTAAACTTTATGAATCCTAAGTTCTCATGGTTTTCCCTCAATAGTGGTCTCCTGGGGCTGGGAAGGTGGCTCAGTGGTAGAGCGCTTGCCTTGCAAGCATGAGGCCCTGGGTTTGATTCCTCAGCAAAAAGAAAAAAAGCTGGAAGTGGCGCTGTGGCTCAAGTGGTAGAGCGCTAGCCTTGAGCTGAAGAGCTGAGGGACAGAGCCCAGGCCCAGAGTTCAGACCCTACGACCGGACCCAAAAAAAAAAAAAAATAGTGGTCTTCTTGTAGATCATGGTATATTAACAGATACCAAGGATCTACTAGATTTATTAACCCTATCTAAATATAAAACAGACTTTGAGAAAATTAAAACAAAAATCAACTGAGAGCATACTCACTTGAGAATACCAATCCGCAAGATTTTCTTCTTTTTTTGCCTCAAGACCCAATCTGCAGACATGAAAAAGAAAATAAAAATGGTGTATGGAGGAACATGGCTCAGCAGTTGCTGGTTTATCTCTTTTCTTATAAAGCTACTAAAACTCTATATCCCCCTGGCCTCCCACCACTCCCCAAAGTTACATTTCCAAATAACAGCAACATATGAATTTGGGGATTAAATTCCAAACATGTACTTTAGAGAAATACTTTCAAATCATGGCAGGCTGAACTGAAAATAAAGCCATGAAGTTCAAAACAGATTATATATATTTTTAGTATCACTAATTTCTATATTTTGTATGTATATAGATTTTCTATATTATATATATATATATATGGAGAATGTTTTTAATACAGAAAACAGTTTAGTCATATAAGATGAGATATTGGCCAAAAACTACAAAACTGGCTTGATGTCTATAATCCTAGCTACTCAGGAAGCTGAGGATAATAAACCTATGAAATCAGCCCAAGCAAAAGTCTGAAAGGCTCTTGTCTCAATTAACCAACAGAATGCTAGACTGGAGGTATGGTTCAAGTGGTGGAACATAAGCCATGATTTTAAAAGCTAATAGAAAGTACAAAGCCCAGAGGTACAAAAAAAGGGAAGAGCCGGGCGCTGGTAGCTCATGCCTGTAATCCTACCTACTCAGGAGGCTGAGATCTGAGGATCGCGGTTCAAAGCCAGCCCGGGCAGGAGAGACCGTGAGACCCCTATCTCCAATAAACCACCAGAAAACCGGAAGTGGCGCTGTAGCTCAAGTGGCAGAGCGCTCGCCTTGAGCTGAATAGCTGAGGGACAGCGCCCAGGCCCAGAGTTCAAGCCCCATGACCCACAAAAAAAAAAAAAAAAAAGGGAAGAAAGCCCAAAATAAAAACTCTCCCAAAAACTACTACCAAATCTAACAAAAGCTATAGTTTTAATGTAAACATCTCTTTTACAAAGTACTTTACTCAATTAATGTGCTTGTTAAAGACAAAGCTTATTCATGTATATTCCCTGGGTTAGATTCCTCAGTACCATATAAACAGAAAAACCCAGAAGTGCTGTTGTGGCTCAAGTGGTAGAGGGCTAGCTAGCCTTGAGCAAAAGCAGCTCAGGGACAGTGCCTAGGCCCTGAGTTCAAGCCCCAGGACTGGCAAAAAGAAAAAAGAAGAAAGAAATTTATGTCATTCTCAACCATGGTAAAATTATAGTAAGATCATATCTCACTGAAAGGTATAAAAGTAATAAAAACAGCAGCTACACATGAATATGTGAATATATGCATATGTGTATTGTACATTTTCCTTTGAAAAAATACCAAATTAGTAGAGCTAGATAATCATACAATAAACTACAACTGAAATAAAAATTATTGCAGGAAATGGGTGTAGCTCAATCTCTACCACTGAAAAACAAACATAAAACTCCAAACATATACATCCATAAAACTCATAACTATCCCAGACAATTATCCTTTTGGGGAAATATCCCAACTATCACTCAAAGAACTTTGGTCTCACAATCTACACAGAAAGATCTATCCATTAGTCATGACTTATATAAGGCAGAGTGTTTTAGTTTATAAGCTAGGCTTTTCTGGCTTTAAGATGCCAACAACTTGGCACAGGCATTCCCCTATGTTTTCCTGTGATACATCACCACAAAATAGATATATAAAACTTAGTCCTTTTACAAGCAATCAGAGGGTAAAGGGTAACAAGTTCTACGCACTTCTCCACTATTCCATAAATCTTATTATCTATGATCAATAAGCAAAAAACATAACTATTCTCTTAAAAAGACAATACAGGGGGCTGGGAAGGTGGCTCAGTGGTAGAGTGCTTGCCTTGCATGCCTGAGGCCCTAGGTTCGATTCCTCAGCACCACATAAACAAAAAGAAAAATGCC